ATCCCTGCTAGTAAAATATACTATATCTTATTTAACAAACCCATTGCCTTAATTGAAGCACGTCCTTGTCCCTCGGAAAAGGAACTACAGATGTTCTTATTATGTAGTTATGCTGCTAATGTGAAAAACGGCCTCATTATGAGGATCTGTTTGTAGCAAGAAAATTACTGCATTATGACAAATGCATGATTGGGAAGTTACAGGAAGCCGATCATTATTGAAATGAAACTGGAGCTCACTTAATAGCTGCAGCCAGCAGCTGGAATGGAGCAAATGAATGTCTTCCTGTTGTTATTGTTGGAGTCAGGGTTTTTGGGCAGGAGATTCTGCTGTACCGCAACCTGCAGGCTGGCTTCGCTTCCAGGGTGGAAAGGCAGTGCTCAAAGCAGCTGTTTCCTACCTGGGAGTCTCCCCCTCGTGTGTTTAATGACACTGTTTTAAAGACACAACCGCTGCAGGAGCAATTACTCTCTGGCTGGCAGCCCGATCCGGGTCTCTCTGGGATAGGGGAAGGTGGTCGGGAGGTTGTTGTCATAGTTAAACTTCATCGCTGTGGCCCCTCCTTCACGCAAGGTCCCTTCCACTCCTACCAGCAAGGGGGCCCCTGGTCTGGGTGTGGGGTGTCCATAGCTACGTTTTCTGCTCTTGACTGCTACTCCTGAGCTTGGGTTTCACACCACTGGGAGGCAGGCACAACTGAGCCCTGAAAGCATAGTAGCTGCTCAGTTAATTTTGGGTGAGTGAATTAGGCTTCCAAAAATTCATGGGGCTGAGGTTCATCCCCGGGACTTGCTTTTTGTAGGAGGCTATACTGGCCCCAAGCAGCAATGTTTCTGATCTGTAGTGTTTTCCGTGTGTCAGGAGCATACCCCCTTACTCACATAAGTGAATGGGTCTTAGACACCAATGGGTTAGCCTTTGAAGTCTGACGAAAGCCATTTACATTTCTGGGATGCTGGAAAACAGCACAGAACCCCGAGCGGGGATGGCTGACAAAGACAGTTCAGCCATCAACATGTAAACTCCAATGACTGATGTCACAAGAAAGAAAAACCCAGCACTGCTGCCCATTGGTACGTTCCTAATTGCAGCAGGCCAGTTGGAGCTACTCTGGCCTCAGCTGCAGCTCAAAGCCTGTTGCCATTTTCGGCTGCCACATTAGCTCTGGCAATCCCAACTTGAACCGACATCACAGACCGTTAAAATTTTATCAATTGCGCTATGATTAATCCCCCAGTACACGGGCATGACTTAAATATTTAGAACGCTTCTTCTGTTATGACTTCAATGCGTGTAAAGTAACGAGATTAACTCCAGTACACTCAAATATATTTAAATGTGCGTCCTTCCCGAGCTGCAGGCTATCCGGCGTGCGGAATCGAGTCTATGTGGCCATGTCAGGCTCTATTTGTAGGCCCCTCGCTGGAGACTGGCCTGCATATGATAGCCGGATATCTGGCCTTTCACAGGCTGCCTGATTGCTTGCCTCATTTGGCATGGAATGTGATTCCCGGCCATTCTAGCTTCTGATTCATTCAGGTTTTATTGCTGTGTAATTTTCTTATTCTAAAATAAAAGCTCTCCAACAAAAATTACTATGCATTAGGCCACAGTAGCCTACTCAAATGGATATTAATACAGTTTATCTCCAAAAGGACGAATAATGTATTTGAAACAGATAAAAGGCCCTCCACTAAATGAGGAATGTTAATATCTTATGGCACAGTTAATAAAGAGATATTTCACAGGGGAGATTTGTTTTATGACTTTTGATACAACAGCCTTGTAATCTGACATATCTTAACGATATAATTTCACACATACATTCATCTCCCGCATGCAGCAGCCCATCTTAGCTAAATTTGAATTCAGGACAAATAATGGGTGCTAATTACTTCCGGAGGGGGGATTTATTAGAAAGCTCATCTTCTCTTTTCCAGGTTGACAGAAATCCATGTGTTAGCTTACAGATACATTTTTGATAAACGTTACTGTTTCATTCCCCTTCAGCAGAAAATAACATTTGTTTTTGTTGTGTTTAAGGCAGAGTTTAAATTAATTTAACCCAGTGACACATGTTCGGAGACTAAGCATGCTGCTAAATAATTCCTTGGAATAAATTGCTCGGGAACCAAATGCATTAATTTATGGCTTTGCTGATGCTGACAGATGTGAGGGGTGGGCCGACAAATATTAACATAAAACAAATTTGCTTTATTCTTCTTCATATTTCTTCTTCATCCCCGACTTGAGCTCACCCAGGGCTCCTTCTCTAATTATCCACGAGGTCAGTAAGCAAAATTGGGAAGAAGCTGAGAGATCAATACAAATTATCCCTGAGCAAACCAGTGCTGACAGTTTGAATTGCAGCATATGTTTACCCAAAATCAGGCAATTTATCTTAATATCAGCAAAGTAATGCAGTGCAGGTGAAAGGTCAGGCAATCTCTCCCCCTCATAATTACCCAGTTCTAAAACAGGAAAGTGGTATTGATTGGCCTGGCTCGGGGCTCTGTGACTGGACGTGCCAGTGCCTTGCCCTGGCTCGGCTGGGCTCTAGGCTGTAAACTCGACACGCGGAGGGTTTATTAGATGTGCGGGGAGGTCTCGCGCTCTCTCCTCCAGTTGCAGAATTGGCCAGTGAGGATTGAACCGGTCTTCAGGAGCCATGGGTATTGATGGGCTCCTTGAGGCTCTGAGGGTTGCTGGCCAGGGCAGGTCTTCAATGGGACCAGGCAATGATCCCGGGGACCCAGAGGTGCATGGGGAGACCCACCACCAGAGCAGAAACTCCCAGGACTTGTGAAGGTCTGCTCGTGCCCCTGCACCAAAGAGGAGGTCGGTTCCAACAGTTCTGCTAACTAAACACGTTCAAGTTTCTACAGCCAGACCCCTGCGGGAGGGACATCTTCTGGCTGGAACAGGAACGCTAGGCCTTTTGCTGTGTAACTCATCCAGTTTGGTGGGGACTGGCCCTGGCGCACTTTGGTACCCTGCCTGAACTTTGCTGATGTGCCACACCTACTCGCTTTGATGATGCCTATTGGTTTGACTCAAGATGAAAGAGGCCCTCATAGCCATACTGCTTTATATGACACGTGGGTCATAGAGAAAGAATATCAGTTCAGCTGAAACACTAGAGAATGTATCTCCCAGGCTGAGTGTACGCTCATCACAAGTCATAAAGCTTCTGAAAGCTTGCATTAAAGCGCCTATCACCTGTCAGGGGCATTTGCATGAAATCAATAAGGGCTGCCCATCTATCTTTTCTGATCACCTTTCATCGGGCCGATTCATTAAGTCAAACAGTCATGGTGATTAGCTGGCAGAGAGGAGAAACCTGACATGTTAGGAATGCACACTGGGCCGCCCCCCACCTCGCCCCCGCCAAACACCCTGATCAAGAAACATAATACTTCATCTTACCCTTTTTGGACCAAGCCGTTGGCTGGGCCTGGAGCCCATCCTCCCGGATGCCCGAACTGCATTTTTGCCTGACACCCTTGCCCGTGCTGAGGCAGAGACATGACAAATTGTCCCCCCAGTCACTGCTGACAGCTTCTGATGATTAATGGCCTGATTATGAAGTGGTTTTACACATATAGAATTTACATCACAGAGAGTTAGAAATTTTGCCATGTCACATACACCAAGGCATTGTGAAGGGTTTTACTATTTGCAAAGAAAAAAGAGGGCAAAATCCCAGCAAAAGCCATGTCATGTAAAATCAATACATCGGATCAATGCTTTATTAACAAGAAAATGTCTTACTTCACATTCCTGTGCGGACCTTTGTCTCCAGGATGTATGATGGAATGTCAAATCATATTGTGGTCCTCAACTTTCGGGCGCATTATTGAGTGTACGTGCAAGGCGTCCTGGGTTGCTTACAAGACGCACCGACAGCTCAGCACTCGAGGATAATGGTGACCAATTATTGTGGAGAGCACTTTCCAAGGCAGCCCCAAGCTTCCTCTTAGGAAGCTATGGCCTTTTGTGTTCTCCCGCACTCCGCAGACCTGGGTGGCGTTAATCATCAAATTACTAATGAGTGATGGCCCAAATTGCGGGCGGAGTAATGAATAGATGGCGGCAGGTCTTATTAGTCTCCGAAAACCTCCTGATTTATGTCGCGCCATGCACCGTGGAGTTACTCCACAGAAAACGATATCTACATCAAGAAATAATGTACTCTAATAAGTATTTTCATCTTAACTCGTGTCCCCGGGCCTCCGGGCTCAGTTTTTGTTGGAGTCAGGCAGAGCCGTAATAAAGCCCGATGGCTCCCTTATAAAGCTTGTTAAACACAGTGTGTGCAGTCGAATGGAGTCCCGGCTGTGATTCATGCACTGTACAGGGTGCATGTGCCTCTGATTTATGGCCACGCACAGTTCATCGTCAAAATTACAATTTGAGGGATAAAAAGATTAATTACTATTTGTGGCCGGCAATTTCGTGGGGCTGGTGGATTGCAGCTGTGGAATGATAGCGCTCTATATCAGTTTGTAGTCAGCCATTCACAGATTATTAAAGCCTTGCAAGAGGAAGTGTTCCTCCTGCCTGGTCTGTGCTCAGGCAATATGCTAGACAAAAAAGGACCATAGGGATAAATCTGAGGCTAGCAATAGCTGGACATATGTCATAATTGCCAGTTTCCCATAAATCCCCGGCTGGTGAGGAACACACCGTGTGATGCAGACGCCGCATCATGGCTCTGGTGATGGCTATATATGGCCCCAAGACCTGTCACTTCGGGACTGTGCTGCCATTTTTACAATATACTGAGCCACCCTTTGACTTTCTTCCAGTCTAATTATAGGTTAGAAATAATCGTTGCTTTTATGTGCAAAAGAAAAGGTGGGGGGAGTCTGTTCCTTAAGGCAGAGCTACCATGCCGAGGTGCCTGCCTGGAGGCACACCTTTGTGCAGGCGTGCGGGGAGTGCACAATGGATGACGTCACGGTGACTGACTTGCTCTGTGTTTGTGTGTCCTCTTGCAGCTCTTAATGAGCCAACCATAGATTACGGCTTCCAGAGGTTGCAGAAAGTGATACCCAGACATCCAGGTGATCCCGAAAGGTTACCCAAGGTCAGTACAAGAGCACACGATGCCCCCACACGGGACTGGTTCTGGTTTAGGGGTGGTGGATCTTCGGGAAGAGGAGTGCCAGACACCCCAAACCCTGTGGCCATCTCAAGGCCAACAGGTATGGGGAGCTTCCTGGCCCATGCCTGGCTACTTCAGAGGCTGGTGAAGGGTGAGAGATGGCGCACGGACTCTTACTTTATGTTGCCTCTTTGGAGGGCCATCTCTTTAAAGGAAGGAAAAAAAACCAAACCATGGCTTTTCTGATAACGAATATTTTGGATTCTGCAAGGGGG